TGGCTACTGTATAGATTGGCTGTCATTCGCGGGCCCATGCAATTATGGACCGCTTAGCCCAAAATCATTATTAAACTATACAAATTTTGAAAAGAGCCCATTATAAATTGGAACGTGGATCCAGTCCAATTATTTTTCCCATGTATTTCAAGAGCCTCGAAATCAAATCCATGCAAATCTTTAAACCGGGGCTTATACGGTTCTAAATCATTTTTTATGAGAGAACGATAAACATATGATTCCTACCAAAGTCTTAAACAAAAATATAGTCTAAAATTGCAACAAAAATTCCATAAAAAAAACCTGGATACCAAGGTCTCAAACATAAATAAAAACAATAGGAAGAAACAGATCTCGAGTCTCGACAATCTCTGCTCATCACCAACGTCTCGTCGCAACCAAATCACCAAACCAAATTTGTCCACCAACCATCGATCTAACCTTATATGTTTTGAAACACCTCGTTGTATGCAACATTAACTGCCTTGCGCTGTGGTCTACCATTTTCATCGGTAATCAGAATCCTCAACCCTGACATAGAAGTTACCATATAAACGGCGACGTAAAGCTGACCATGAGTAAAAACGGGTCTTGGAAGATATAAACCCACTCTATCTAGCGTCTGTCCTTGACTCTTATTTATAGTCATTGCAAATGTCACAGCGATCGGGAACTGCTTGGAACTTTCCTACAGTCGGCATTAGAAATATCCTAGGAATGAGGACCCTTTTGCCGGCCTTATCACCAGTTATGATCTTAGCTCCAATGACGTGTCCACCTAACGCAGTAATAAGCAGTCTGGTGCCGTTGCATAGTCCTCCCGGAGGATCGATATTCCTCAGCATCATAATAGGCTGTTCAGAAACTCATCGGTAAAGATCATATTATTGGTATTCGGCTGATCTGGAATCTCAACACTCTCCGACGGTATCTCCGATGGCTCATTGATATCATCAACTTCTCGATCAGTAGTATCGATACTGTCGCAGCTCCGAAAGATCCTCTCGGGTTCTTGCATATTAAATACAAAATTTAAAAGGATCTCAGACGAAAGCCTACTAAAACACTGAGCACACATATATAAAAACATCTACCTGATAAACGCGTTAGTATGTAATCGTTTATTATAGTCACGTCGAGGTGACACTAACTAAGTATGGTCCTCCGTTGATAGAATGCTGGATCACCCTCCTTGTCAAATGCCTCCCCATAAATCTCGGCCACAATCGTTTTCACAAGATTACCACAATTCACAACCAACAGATCTTCGAGAATCTCGATCTCTGATTCACCGTTATCATTTTTGCCGATGATCCCATCTCCTATTGCCATGATCTACTTAGAGAAATATTTGAGTTCAATCATCTCATGGCTATTGCCTCCAGGGATAAGGCACATATTCCCTGTTAGCTTCAACACCTTGACATGAGACCAAAGAAGTGAAGAGTTCAATGCAGCCAAAACTATCTTTGTCCGACCACCATCAGGAATGATCGGCAAGATCTGCCTAAAATATCCTCCGAAAACAACCACCTTGCCACCAAAAGGCTTATCACATTTTAAAATAGCACGCATCGTCCTATCCAGAGTCTCGAAACAATCTTTATTCATCATCAATGCCTCATCCCATACAATCTTTACTGCACCACATGGCCCATGAATCATCACGTCGCGAACAACCTCATATAGATGCGGTTCCGAGTCTTTTTCAGGCATCTCTGCACATATTATATTGTCGATCTTCTCGGCCGTCCGGAGCTTGTGATCATGCGCCATGAAAAGGACTATGTGAGCGTGAGGAAGACCTCTTTTTAATGCATATATGACAGTCGACAGTGATGAAAGTCGACAGTGACCCCAATTGTAGATAGTGGCCTCTGTCATTACTTATAAACTAAACCTTGCTATTTATATCTTTCTATTTTCTAATAAGATCAACTACAAACAAAATTACCCCAAAATAGTTATATAGCCATTACTCTTATCTGATAAAAGCTGCATAAATCTAAATTATAAGGCAGATATCCTACATTCACCGATCGATCTAATGATGTGAAAAAAAAAAATCAAAACAGCAAATCAACTATACACATCAGAAAATCAGAGGAAAATTACTTGGTGATTAAATTGAAAAGGAAAAGTGAGAAGGCAAGTAATTATAAATAGTTAGGGATAAAGATAAATGCTCTTCACCCATTTTGATGAATCAACATCATTATCCTTTTTAAACTGAGCTCCGATTTCAATTACTCTTTTTTTTTTCAAAATTCCGCATACTGTGTTCTATCATTCCCGCGTATTTTTAATTATGTTTTGCTATATATATATATATTTTTATTTACGCTATGCAGCATATACACATATACATTATAAATATTTTCTACGGGATCATCTACCAAATAACTTTCTAATGGGCCCAATGATCCAAGGAGCCAATTTAACGATAATGCCGAGAAAAACGCTCGTATTTTACCGCTCTCGTGTAGGCTCATACGTTTCCAAAACCATGCATGCATTCTAATGACTAAACTTTATCGGTTGACATTAAAAAAAAAGAAACTTAAATCTATAAGGTAATCAATAAATTTATGGAAGACTGTTAGAATAGGTAACAATAATATTCTGGATCAAAATAAATCGCGCTGAGCCCCAACCCTAGTTCCTTTTAGAAGTGGACACCACTTCCTCGTCTTTCCATCCCAAATCCATTTAGAATGAAATTCCATATACATCAAATTTCTAGTCTCAGCACCATTTCTATTAGTCTCCATCCAAGCAGTAAATTGTTTTCCAGGATAACTCGAAGGATCGTTTTCCTCTCTAAAGATGCAAGACTGCTGACGCGGAAGAAAGAAAGGTAGCATGTCCATGTTCATAGCTCGCCAGAAAGCAGAGGACTCTACGTAACAGCAAAAATAAACTTGAGAGAAACGCAACAACATAGAAAAATGCATTAATCAAAGATAGACAAACCACAAACTAACCAAGCGCTAGGGTTGAGAGAACGCACGTCCAATCGGCTATGAAACCAAACTCGTCCACACCTTAGGTATATATAGACCTCACCAATTAGAAGATATACACGAACCATAGAGACGTATCAACAAATTGGATACGGATTTTACCGAAACGTCATATGTTTAGGAAATTTTACGATATATAAAACGAAAAAACCCGGACATTCTAGAATAAACGCTAAAGCCAAGTAACCATGTTTACAGATATACATAACACACACACATATATATATATATATATATATATGCAGTAAATAACAAATCTCAACGGGGATATACACAGGAACATTATATATATTTGGATTTTTGGTAATCAAGGAACGTACATTATATATACTACAAATAAAAGTCATTTACCCGCTAGTATATTCAGCAACCGAATATATAATTTCAGACGATGAAGGTGATCACCGACATCCTGATATTCTTGAAAATAATATACACAGTAACATAGACAAATTAGATTCATCTGCTATTTACCAGTTCTTTATTAACAACGCATGTCCAGACAAAGCAACAAAACTATCAGTGAGATCCATTTGCTATTTGCCAATTCTTTTTCCACAACGCGTGTCCAGACAAAGCAATAAAATAATTAGCATTCTCTTAAATTTCATCAAACAGTCATCCGTTTTTCAGAAAACCGCAGCGATTAAACAAAGAACACTCGAACCTCTACTCTTTCAATCGAATGAAATACAAACCATTTGAATAACAACTATGGCTCAACCTCAGGCTCATGAGAAAGAAACCGATACAATACCTGGTCCGAGCAAATGACTTATTCTTCTTTTGATATACGCTTCCCTACAGTATCAATAAATAACCATATATATGGGAGTGAATCATGTGGTTATACAGTCACTGCAACCTATAATGACTAAGGCACTATAGTCATTACCTGTGATCTTTTGTCACGGAACACTGCTTTTGAATTCTGACCAGTTAGCTCGGAATCCATATCTTTAAACCTGTAGAAGGTAGAGTATATACCTTGTTTAAAAAAATATAGCAGCCTAAGTCGTAAAGTGGAGACTGATCTCTCTTTGAATCCCTACTTGAAGGGATAGAAAAGACAAAATCCTTTTAAAAAAAAAGGAATGGAGAACCTAAAAAAACCAGGAAAGGTAATGATGCAATCCTGCTATCCTAGAAACATAGAAACAGATAGTAAATATGAAACTCAGGTTTTATAAGACACTACTGAAACAAACCTGATGCCTATAAATAAAATACAGCAAATACAGTCTTATTAGTCTGCTTTTGAATTATTACCTCCGTTGTTCGTCCTCCTTTTTCTTTTGATATTCAATTCCAATGCCTTCGCCACTAATTAATCCCGACTTCCGTTGCCACTTTCTTGATTGAGGAGGCGGTGATTCTCTGTTTGGTCTCCTTGGCGGGGAGTTTTCAAAATTAGAAACACAATTTTTCTTTGAGAAGAAAGACCTGAGTCTCGTGAACTCTTCACATTCGCATTCCTGCGTGGTGGAGGTAAATCTTGAGCTTCACTTAAAGATTCTTCACCTAATGTTTGTCACCTTAATTGCAAAACTAAGTGCGAAATAAAATAATTATACTAACCTGCACTTGGACTGAGCTCAAACCTCATTCGGGGCCCAAAGCTTCATCCTGTACGTTGAAGCTCCTTCTCGTCGGGAAAGCTCTTCCGACAACCTGATAGGGAAGAAACTTTTCCAATCAGATTTGTCTCGGTTAATTGCTAACATCTGTATGATAATTGGAAGTAGATATATGCAAGAACTCTAAGTCAGATTTTGATATATTTATTTTACCGTGTAAACACCCATCGTCTTGAGAGGAGGGAGCCACGCCGTGGTAGTCGATAGTTGAATCCTCCAGAACACAAACAAACTTCTTTTGTACATCTTGTTTATATATGACAGTAAAATTAAAACCCTAATTTTCCCCACCGGAAGATAGGTAAATATAATTACATAAACCCATAAACATTGACATATGAATAATTTATCCCCTCAAATTGACATATCCACGATGAAACTATTAAGAAAGAGAGAGCATTTATACATCTTATTCATACGTAATAAGCAAATCAAAATAACCAAATAAGCAGAAAAAAAATATAACCAAATAACACCAATTACCTCATATGTAGATGTGCCGTCAAACTCCCTAAAGATCTGTCTTTTGCTCGATAACCTAAAAAATTGAACCAAAAGATCAGTTTCATAGCAAATTCAGAGAACAAAGGAACAACAACAACAAACAACCCCCAAAAAAAATTTCAATCTAAAACCTAGAAATAATAACTACCATGAACTAAACTAAACATAAACGACCGTAAAAAAAAAAGAAGTGAAGAAAACCTAGGGCAGCCTAGTTATTAAATTAAAATTTTATCTATAAAACGAAAAACAAAAATCCTATAATATATATATATATATATATATATTCCATAAGCATAGTTTAATAATTAAATTAAATGGTAATGTAAATAAAATAACTTAATACGCAAATTATTCTTATTTAGAAGTAAATAGAAGTATTTTTAATTTAATAAAATTTAAATATAATAAATTACTTAATATTTGTGTTATTTGATAATATGATAAATGGGTTGAGATTAATATTTTTTTGTATGAAATGATACCCATTACAGGGTTAACTATCAAACATGCAAAATATTTAGATCACTGTGAAACGAGTTAAAAGAATGAAAAAACTAAAATATATTGTTCGCTAACGGGTTAAAATATAATAATTTAATAAATAGATTATCTGAAATAAAACACCTACATTAAAAATAAACATTTAACAAATAAAAAATTAAATTTATAAATATATTATCTGAAATAAATAAATATCACTAAAAATTAAAGAATTCAGCAAATTAAAAATTAAAATATAGATGTTATTTTATATTAAATTAAAATATATTTAGCAAAAATATATTTCCGGTCTTCGGAAGCCCGGGTCAAAATCTAGATCACTAGTAATACTAGAGTACAAAAAGATTGTAACAAGTCCTTAAACAACAATGAATCATGATGGTATAACGAAAAAAAATCATAATCATAAAGACAGACAGATATTCGACTAAAAAGAAAAAAAAAGGGACAGACAGATGAAAATAGAGTCGAACTTCATCTGCGACATTCTGGTTTACCTTCGGCTCACCTTCGGCTCACCTTCATATACAATCCCTGTAATAAATAAATAAATAAAACAGCATCAGAGAATTTGTTCAAAAAAAAAAAAAAAAAAAAAAAAAAAAACAGCATCAGAGAAATTGAAATCATTCTTTACAAAACAGACACTCTGAATAATCTAGAGTTTGAGAACAGTTTCATTCATACATTGGTGGTGTGTATGGTTGCTCCAGTGGTCATGCTAATGGTCTGATCAGGAACCAGCTCAACGTTTAGGCGCTGGAGAAAGACCGCGAGTGCCACAATTGCCTCCATCAATGCAAACTGATCGCCTACACATTTTCTAGGCCCTCCACTAAACGGTATGAATCTGGTGAAAACAAATCATCAATCATCGTTAACCTATCTAAGCAAATATAAAACTTGATTCAATAGTTTGCGTCAAAACATGTATGGTACTGAGTTTACTTGAAATCGGTGTTTGTTTCGTTGGGGATTGCGCCTTCTAACTCGAATCGTTCAGGCAGAAATTCTTCAGCTTTTTCCCATACCTTGGAACAACAAACACATCTAAATGAAACTCGAAACCATACAGATAAATCCGAACCAAGATCAAACCAGGGACCGGATGGGTTCCCCTAAATGTTAATATGGGAGAAGGAAGCAAGAGAACTTTACCGCGGATGAACGATGGACGTTATAGACCGAAATCATAATGTCTTGTCCGGAATTAACCTTGTAGTTCCCGGGAAGAATGTCGGGAACTTGAGCTCTTCTTATCAAGACCTACCAGAAAAAAGACCTATCATGAAACCAAGCTCATGAAGATTAGAGAAGCTTAGCTTTTTTCCCAAAGCTAGCTTTCCCTTATTATATCCCTATATATATCCCTGAGCTTGATTGCTTACAGGAGTATACAACGAGTGATGTACTTCAACTCCTTTATATCCTCATAAGCCGGGTTTCTCCCCGCTAAAACTCTGTCTACTTCCTCTTGTGCTTTCGCCAATGCAGATGGATTCTATTCAAGTTAAGAGTTTGAAGAGGCAAAAGGATTACTCATCAATGAAAACAGAGAAGTTCTTTGCAAGTGGCATAGGAAAGTCGAAGATAAAAAAAGATACCTTACTTAGGAGATAAATGGTCCAAGTGAGGACAGATCCAGTGGTTTCATGACCTGCAACAAGCATTGAGAGAAGATCATCTCGTAACTGCACACTTGACACCTGAAAAGCCGCACAATCCCACGACAATTAGCTTCGATTTGCTATAATGAAAGGCCAAATGTACTTATAACCGGAAGGAAACTAAGGTTAAACCTCTTCTCTGCTTGCGAGCAAGAACCGCAAGATACTTGGGTCAGCATCATTTACATACTCTTCATCATTGATTCTTTCGCCTTCTCTTTCGACAATTTCTTTGCACTTAGCAATGAGGTCTTCAACGGTTTCCCTTATCAAAGTTACAGCCTTTTCAGCCTTCACTTGTCTCGGAACTATCTTACACAATGCATCGATCTGAATACATCAAAGCCTCTGAATCAACAAGAATCCAAGTGTGCTGAATTGAACAAACGAGGAAAAACACAAAACTTGCCTTCCAATATGGTAGAATATCAGTAGAACGAAGCTCAGCTTCTTTAAGAGCAGTGTAAACAGCTTCGATCACAGGACTATCGGTAGTGAGTGAATCGAAGTTGTAGTTAAAAAGTGATAAGCCAATAACATCGAGAGTTAACTGAGAGAACTTCTCTTCCATGTTCACAGCTTTTCCGTCCTGTGCATAAGGCTGCAGCTTCTCAACAAGCCTCTCTGCACATTTGCAGAACACTCTCTCCACAATCACAGACAAATACCTCTTGTGAAGTGAGGGAACCACCGCTCTTCGCCTTGCCTAACATCAATAATCAAACGTCAACGGTTTCAAATTGGTACAAAACTAGGCCCCCATAGAGAAGATCAGCAGAGAATTGAAACCTCAAATTAGACGATTAAAGGGTTACTTATCATACAAGACAATGACACATTTACTGCTGCAGAGAATTATCAACCAAATTTGCAAAAAGCTAGATTTTTTAAACCTAAATTTAGATGATCAAAGGGTTACTTATCATACAAGACAGTGACACATTTACTTCTGCAGAGAAATATCAACCAAATTTGCAAAAAAGCTGGAATCTTTAAACCTAAATTAGACGATTAAGGGTTTACTTATCATACAGGACAAATACACATTGGGGAGAAGATGAAAATTACTTACCGTCCAAAGAGGTCCTTCGGCGATTGCAAAACCCGACCCGAAAAGGAACTCGGAGACTTCAGCGACTAACCCTTTAGCGTATTTCGGATAGTTTCTCAGAACGTGTTTCGCAATCGCTGGATCGCTCACCACCACGAAATTACGAGGACCAGCAGCGAGACGGTAAATGGGACCGTACACGATCATCCATTTGTAGAGTGGTAAGAAGAGACGTCGTCGAGCTTCGCGCTCGCGATTGGTATACCCGAATCGTCGTTCTGGCCCGAGGAAATGGTACGAGTGAGTGACGTGAGCCAATCGGGGCTGACCAATGACTGGGATTTCGATGGGTTGGTATCGGATTTGGGTTTTGGTTTGGGTTTCTCTATGGAGGATTTGATGGAGAATGAAGTTGAGAAGAGTTTGGGGTTTGGAGAGGGAAGACGATTAAACTTTGCAGTGAATAGAGAAGAAGAGGGAGATTGTAAAAACAGAGAAGACTCCATTCTTCTTCGTAAATGATTATATATATGTTTCTCTTTCTCTCTTTAAAGTTTCAACCCATTGATGAACTCTTTTCGAAGCTACGATGCAGAAATATTTGACATACGAGTCTAAACGCGGGCCGTTAGGCGTGGATAAGGACGACGACAACTTAAAACGGCGGCGTATTAATAGTCAAACTAAATCGTTCGTATATGGGCCTTCGGAACGATAAGGCCCATCAGGGGAAAACCAAAACCAATTCGTATTATAAAATTAAAGAACCTTATAAATACAAAAAAAGTAAAGTCTCGTTGTTGACGAATCCAAGTTTCAACACTTCTTCGATCCTAATTCTTTTGGAGTTCTGTAATATGGTCGATCCGGTTAGGCAGAGAAGAACGAAAAGGAACAAGTCTTTCCGACACAAAGCTTTGTTTTAAAAGCTAATTTCTGACAACGATGTTCCATTTCTGGTAATATCCTAACTAGAGAATCAGATACGTGTGTTCCGGACATTAGGTCTGTTGTTCGCTGATTAAGGAAATTGGGTTGTTTGTGTAATTAACAATTGAGGATTGTGTTGCTGATTTAGGGTTTTTGGAATGTTGTTGTACTGTATTATATAGTCTTGCTATTGCTGTTGGTGTCTTGTTTTGATGTTCTGCACCTTCCTCTAATTTGAAATGGAGTAAATCTGACGAGAAAGAAAGTTTTGTGTTCTCTTAGGTGTATATCTTGAAATGATTTAGTGCTAAAATGATTATGTTTCTCTTGTGTTTACATCAAAGGGGATCAAAAGAGCAACAAGGGCAATCTCGTCCTCCTCCGAGATTATGTTTCAGCAGCCATGGTACTCGCCTTCTCTAGTCAGCTCCTCAAGTTCATCACGGCCTCAAACATCTGGTCAGACTCCAGCACACGTTTCGCCTGGTGAAGCAGCTGGCATTATTGCGCTTTTGAAAGACAAAAGGTTTGTCTCGATTGTGTGTGTTTTTGTACGCTTCTCTCCTCTGTTGCGGTTTCTTTTTTTTTAAATCTTGTATTTTCTGTAGTGTGGACGAGCTTAGGAAACTTCTCTCTGACAAAGATGCGTATCAGCAATTTCTGCTCTCTCTTGACCAGGTCAAAATCCAGAACAATGTAAGTCTTAAAAACAGTTTTTAATGGTCTCTGGATAACGATTGTTGTTTATAGTTCGAAGAATGTAGCTTCATTAGTTATGTATTGAGAATATTCACTGGTGCTCATTGTTTCTGTCCATCAGATCAAAGATGAGCTCCGCAGAGAAACATTGCAGCTAGCTAGTAAGTTCTCTGTTGTTCCTGTCATTTCAGGAGTAGCTTCGGTTTCATCTAGAAATCTGACATTGTTCTGGTCCAATGTAAATAGGAGGGAACTTAGAGAAGGAGCCGCAGATAATGGAGCTCAGAAACCAAGTGGGTATTCAGTTCACTCTCTTTTAATAAGCTTTTTGGGTATCTTTTCTTACCTTGTGTGACTCGTTCTACAGTGCAAAATTATCCGGACGACTGAGCTCGCAACTGCGCAAGAAAAGCTCAATGAGCTGGAGAGACAAAAAGAAGAGATCCTCAAGTTCTACTCACCTGATTCTCTTCTTCATAGGCTTCAAGGTAAACTTATACAGCTACAACCTCACCTGACAGTTTCTTGTGTCACTTATAAACAACACCTTTTTGCGGGTTTTGTAGAGGCTATGAATCAGGCGGATGAAGAATCTGAAGCCCTACAAGAGAAGTTCCTAGAGAAGGAAATTGATGTAGCAGCATTTGTGCAGAAATACAAGAAGCTGCGTACTACCTATCATCGACGAGCACTGATTCATCTTGCTGCTAAAACCTCAACCGTTGGCTGAAACTGTGAAAAGCTTTTGAACACTGAACGAAAATCATAACCAAAGTCATTTTTCTGTGTGTCTCTTGTGACTATCTGATACTGTACAAGAAGTGATTTTGCTGTTCAGGTTCATACGAAAGTGATTGACATTAAAACCAAAATTATGTTTTCCTTAATAAGAAAAAAACTACAACAAAAGTCTGAATTCGCTGCAGTCTGATAAAAAACGACAACACCAATCTAGTTTCCTCTGTGTATTTTTTTCCTTTCTTTCGAACTTGAGTCGAAGATGCTTCTAACTCAATAAAAAATAGTTAATAAATTTTATTGTTTGTATATTATTTGTTCATACAATTTCTTCTTAATTTAGAAATGAATACGGTACTTTTTACTATTTTATCTGAGATTGGGCTATCATGTTTTCTTTTGCAAATCTTTAACTAAATACAGTTAGTAGTGAAAGTTCATAGTTGATTCTTGATTATTTCAATCAATGACTATTACCCTTAATTCTATGAATGTAGTTTCATTAGTTATGTATTGAGAGATTATTCATTGGTGCTCTTTCTAGTAGACATAAATATTGTTGGATTTGTCCAAAAGGCCTTTATTATGGCATCATCGTTTACATGTTGAAACTTGACTTATTATTTGGTTCTTTGTTTCTGTCCATCACTCGTTTGATATATTGCTTCATACAAGATGCATCAGTTCTTGAAGAAACGGAAATCTCTCAAATGATGGAGAATCAAGTACAAATCCAGGCCAGAGCAAAGCAAATGGAAGGTTGATAGGTTGTGGTTTGATGAGGTGGCTGCTTTAACACGAGAAATTGAATTTTCGCTTCAAGCACAAATGGAAATCTAAACCACTACTATCATTTCCACGGTTGGAAGTTGGTATCGACAGTATTTGTTTTGATGGAACAGAGTAGTTATGTTTCAGTGTTGATGCAACCATCCTGATTTGCTGCTATGGATTCACTTGTGTGGACAAATACGATGAAATATATGCTCTCCAATGCAATTGGAGTCAGTGCCAATGTCGAGATGTTTCTTTTCTTATAACATCAGACACGGCTCTGTGGAAACATCTCGACATTGGCACTGACATTGTATTACAACTTCAAATATTGTAAAATTGTATTCTAAATTTTAGATTTACCGAAAAACACAAAAAAACCAATGGTCTGGAAAAAATGTATGATTTATGCAAAAACTTATTTTTTATTTCCTTTATTATATATGGCTATTTATTTTTGTAAATATATATATATATATATATATATGACTATTTATTTTTGTAAATATTTGTTTCGTTAGTTGATGTCCATTATTGTTAATTAACACTTGTAAATTTCATAAATTGTGATATTTTTGTATCGCCTCCGGCCTCTATTGACCTAGGCACGGCTCTGTGTTTCCGAATTGGGCTTAGTATATTTAAGCATGATTGTGTATTTCAGGTGTTTGCCTTTCTATCTCACTACAAAGAACTAGAAAAAGGAAGCAGAAGTGGTAAAAATCTTGGCGCTTTAAGTTTAAAGGGAGTCTTATCAACTGGTATTATGCTAGGTTACATGGAAACTCTGTTTGAGATCCGTTTCCCGTTTCCGAAACGTTTCGGAATCAGAAACTCTTGGAAACTCATTGGAAACTCGATGAAATTACAATTCTTAAAAACGCAACTTAAAATCATAGTGAAAACATGTTTCAAAAATATAAACGCGATGAAAACTTGTTTTTATGTTAAATAAACATAATAAAAAGTATTTAGGAAAGTTTATGACATATTTTATTGTTTTGTAATTCAAAAATATAATTTAATAATTTATGTAAATACATTTTTCAATATAAATCTTAATCATTAAACTATTTAATATGTATATGCATTGGATTAGTGTTTTTTTAAATATTTTTAATATTATTTTGATGTTTATTGTTATATATGAATATATGTATATGCATATGTTTGTACGTTTCCAAAACGTACCCGTTTCCTAAAATTTTGTAAAAATCCGTTTCCACGTTTCTACACGTTTCGTTTCTACGTATCCGTTTCCGTTTCCATGCAACCTAGGTATTATGCCTATGTGAAAATGAAAATCTACTTTTCTGTTTGGCATTGTTGGAGAATGACGAAATTGCATAACTTTAGCCTGAAACAGTGGTAGACAAATTTTATTTCACCATATTAAAAACATCGAAGACAACAAACACGTTATTGTAAAGTGGTGGAGATGAGAGAGGCCTTAAACTTTTTTTTTTTGGGCTAAAGAGAGCCTTAAACTTGATATGATAAATGGATCAAAGACGTCACTTTGTGATGGGTGCGACACTGACTCCAAACTGATAGAGCTGGTCACTAGCTTTTCCATGGAACCCTACGATTTTTTGACCTGCCTTCTCGAGTATGAAGTGTAATACCACCAAAACCGATTGAGAAAACCGTTTGAGACAGAATTATTTGGATCAAAAACGTTTTTGATATAAAACGATTTATAAGAAATGTTTTGAAACGATTTAAAAGAGACGATGAAAATCGAGCCAATTGTAAAACTGATTTGAACGCAGAGGCGAGATATGATATCTTTTTCCTTAACTCAAATGAATAGCCCGCAAGTGAGACGGTTTCTGTTGCGATTCTCGAATCCCAGGATACAACTGGTTTGAGACCGTTTTGCAACACTCAAAACGGAATCTACGAACTTATAACTAAGATATACTCCTGAGACTTACCATATGAGCGATCGTTGGATGCAATTTTGTGTGTAAGGTTTCTCTTTTTTCTGATGAAAACCGGTACCAAAATGAGGAAGAAGATGACTCGTTTATAGCCAAAAGAGGAGTTGTTTTCTGATCCCGAAAAATCAGGTAAGTGGAAGACCAAGACTTTAGGGTGCACTTATTTTCTTGGGTGGATGGCGACGACTTCTACGTACACGTCGAAATAGACATGTTTCTAGAAAGCCGAGAACGATCGTTCGAAAACATATGGATCGTTCTCGTTTCGCATCAGGATCGATCGTTCTAAAAGTAGATCGATCGATCTCGTGTCGCATCCGGAACGATCGATCTCAAAATAGATCGATCGATTGACTCGTTTAATTGAACCAAAAATTCATACGAATTTTCCCCAAAAAATATATACGCGCGTTTGGCCCTAAAGGGCCTATTCCCAGACCCAGACCCAGACCCAGAGTCGAGCCGGTCGGACAGCGGCGGCGGCGCGCGCGTGGAGTCCTCCCTTCTCCCTCAGCTTTTAAACACAAACAAGAGTTCATGCCTTTATAAACACTGAGATTTTTGCTCCTCTAGGCGATGTGGGACATTTCCCATTTCTCCTCATTAAATTTAGCCTACTAAAAGGCTTTCTCAATTTAAAGCCCGGAGGCCCATTTCTTTTCACACAAATTTTTAATTTCGTTTGGGCCCTAATTGCCCATTACGAAATTTGGTCCAACAATCCCCCACATGAATAGAAATGACTCTAAACATATGCAGACTCGATTATGCAGACTCGATTATGCAGACTCGATAAAATTCTGACTAAGACTTATACTAGACTAGACAGACTGACTTTTCGAGAGTATAAACGAAATTAACTGTGTCTGAGTAAGTAGCATTTTTCAGCCTTGAACCACTCATTGTTAATATCTGTCGGGTTTACTTGGCCGGGAGGTGAACATGATGTCTTGAACCACCCAGATTTTGATGTAAACCGAGACAACAGCTATAACCCAGCTTCATTTCTCGTAGAACTAAGTTCTCTATTGTGTTCATTTTGGCCTTGAACTTGCCTGGTTATTCATGAGTGAACTTGGAGAATATAGCCTAACTTTCATTCTCCTAGAAACGACCTTATTTCACACTCACTAGGTGATCTGCTTTTAGCATGTATTTTAAGAAGTATCCTGTCATACTCCACATATCTTACATAGCTATGAAATCATTAAAAGCCATTGCTTATCTTTATCACATACAGGTAGCACTGTTTTATCATCGTAGGAGTTGGGTAGAGACGTAAGTCTCACAATGCTTTTAGCAGAATCAGTCTGATTTAGTTGTCCCTTTGAACTTAGATCTTGGGATCTCCAGTCACATAAGTAGGGTTTCCACCAAACGTCATCTTAATTCACAGGCTTTAAACCCATTCCTCTTGATGATCTTAGCACTTGATCTCGAGTCAAACCTTTTGTAAACGGATCCGAAAGGTTATCGGCTGACTTTACATAATCAATGGTGATCACACCAGTTGAGATCAAATGTCTAATGGTCTTATGTCGCCTTCTGATATGACGAGATTTTCCATTATAGAGATTATTCAGTGCCCGAGCGATAGCCGCTTGGTTATCACAGTGTACACGTATTGCTGACACTGGTTTCTCCATCATTGGAATGTCTTCCATCCAATTTCAAAGCCATTCTGCTTCCTCTCCGGCTTTGTCAAGCGCTATAAACTCAGATTCCATCGTTGATCGAGCTAATAGAGTTTGTTTACCAGATCTCCAGGAAATTGCTGCCCCTGCTAGTATAAAGACGTATCCACTTGTGGATTTTGAGTTCTTTGAGTCAGAGATCCAGTTTATGTCAGTGATTTATGGTTTTTTTCTAAATATAGAAATATAATTAAAAATCATTTAAGTTGTCACAAAGTTGCAAGTATTATATGGCATCTGGAAGCGCCATTTGGTATGTGATGCACCATCTGTATTCAACAACTTAAGACATGAAAATAGGTAAATTTTAGGTGGAAATGGAATGATTATTTACAATAACAATCTACTTTGACATACTATATTTCTAAACCCAAATAGCAATTTCACAAAGGATTATGATTTTAAAGCAGCTTTGCAAGAAAGAGATGTATTGACAGTTCTAAAGATAAGATTTTCTAGTCGACATTTGTTACTAGGGAAAAATGGCCACAAAGAGTTTACTATCAACGTGCCCCCACATTTTCTGAGGTACATCATCATATTATACAGAGTAAATTAAGAGGATTCCACAGTTAAGGGCTATGATTGTAGCTCTCTGATAGCGATTTATCACCATGGCTGACAGATAAGGTGTGGTGTTGAGGATTCCACAGTTAAGCACTAGGATCTTGGCATGAATTCACGTTGATTTTGTCAATTTGACCGCTGCAGCCATCACGAAAGTTTAGCTTGGACCAAGCTCAAACTGCTCTCTTGGCATGTAGCTCTTGTCTGCAATGCCTGATTGGTCCAGCACTCACTCTAGGCTGAATCTCGA